TCTATTTCTTATTTTCCATTGTCTTTCTTTGGTGATAGTTGTGGATTTACATTTGAGTCCCCATCTTGTGTATTTATGTCACTCTTTTTTTTTAAGCTTCTCTATCATTGACTTATTAAACTTTTAATTTCTTGTTCCATTGACCAGAGACCATTCACTCCACATTTGCTTGGTTATTGAATCTGAGATTTTTTGAGAAATCATTTTTCCTCAGAACTTTGTATAGATTGTTCCATTGTCTGCTGGCATTTAATATTGCTGATGAGAAATCCAGTATCATTTAAAAATTTGTTCCCTATTTGGTGACCTTTTTTGTTTGTTTTGTTTTCTTCTTCCTCTCACTCTGGACACTTTTAAGATAATTTCTTTATCATTAGTGGGTTTTTTTTTTTTTTAATGAAGAGCCCTGAAGTTGATTTTTCCTTTCATTCTTCTGGCACTTAACAGCCCTTAGAGTTCTGTGGAGCATGCAGGTTCTGTTTCTTCTGTAACTTTATCTCAGTTCCTCACATCTTTCTCCCATGGACACCTTTGCCTGATACCTTCTTTACCCTTTACTTTTAGCCTCTCTGAGATAGGCATGAGTTGAGCAAGCAATCACTGTTTGTAAAATCGCCTACTGGGGGGCGCTATAAAGCAGGTTAGGCACATGATCCCTATCTAAGTAACTTATACATTGTAACTGTATTATTTGGAGAAGTGCTGTAACATCATTAAGTCATCATTAAGTGGCCATGATAAAGGAGAAAATCTCTTTTACTGGAGATCAGAGAATACACCATATGAAGGTGACATTTGAGTTGGGGTATAGTAGCACGATGACTACATTTGATTCATGTATTTTCCATTGCCACAGTGGGTGATGTAGGGGCCAAGGGTTAATCATAACTAAATAAATTAAATTCTCAGAGAGACTCAGGAAATGTGATTTTTGTATTATTTCCTGATGTTCTGTAGTCTAGGACAGAACTTAATGAGAGGGTGGTTGACAATGCCAACAACTTTCTCAAATGTTAGATGTCATAAATGAGCTTTGAAAGTGGCTGCTTCTTACTCTATCTCACATTAGCTGAAGCCTTCTGGCTACACACAATAGGCTCTGATTTGCTAAAAGTAACAGAGGATATAAGCACCAGTCCCATGGCTATCATAAAATATAACTTACCAGACTCAAACTTCTACAGAGTAAGAAGAGATAGGATCTGAATGCAAATGAAACAGCACAAGGTGAGCTGAATCTTTATCCATTTCCTTTTACAATTTAAAAATAATGTAAATGATGTTTATTTTTATTACAAAATGTTTGATACATAGGAGAATCTATGTAACATGGAGGTAAGTTACAAAGTGTGGATGTGTTTGGCAGTCTGGAAGCTCTCTGAACTACCTACTGTTGGGATTTTTATGGAGGCTTTCTCATGTGAGCATGATCAATGATTAAGTCCCGTTTCCAGCGCCTCTCTCCTCTATAGAGGAGGGGGAGATGGAGCTGAAAATTCCAAGCTTCTAATCATGGCTTGGTCTTTTTGGTGATCAGCCCCATCAGGGAGCCATCCAAGAGCCCACCCTAGGTCACCTCATTAGAGCAAAAAATACTCCTAGTACGCTTCTCACTTTGGAATTTACAAGGGTTTCAGGAGCCCTGTGTCAGGGATCGGGCCAAAGACAGGTATTAGAACAATAGATGCTTCTAGTGTTCTTATCACTTAGGGAATTACAAAGCTTTTAGAAGCTCTGTGCCAGGAACCAGGGAAAGGGACCAGTATGTATATTTTCTATTATCTCACATCTGGTATATAATAATCACCCAATACATATTAGATCTTCTTCTTCTTAATCTTCTATTGTTATTATTAATAATCCACCTAATTGGTATATTATTTTTTGTTATAGTTATTCTGTTCTACTTGATTGATGTTTAAAAAAACAGTTTAAACATTTGCTTTATAATGGAGTGGAAGATGTGTCCACAGATTACGTCACAGGTGGTTGGTGGGCTCATGCGCATTTGTTTCGTATGTATACACATTGTACACACACATCGATACTTTCACATGTATCAAATCTTACAAATACATCATTTAAAAAGTCAAGAATAGAGAGAGGCCTGTCTTTTGTGAACTTGGTGAAGATGATCAATCTAGAAATCTTAATTAGGAAATTCCTGCTCCTCTGTGGGGTGTGTTCAGGGAGATTGGGAGGAGCGCGTGGGAGGAGGTTTCTGCTTCTGAGTCAGAGTTAAGCAGCCTTGGCGGTGGCTGACTGCCACAGGTGAGGCCATGTAAGCCTTAGGTCGAGTGCTTGGGGCTTTGGGTCCAAATGACATGTGGAGTCAAAGGCTGATGTCACTTATCAACAGGTCTCCCTCTCCATGTTGTGCCCACTACCTCCTGGAAAAATTCAAGGCCCTTTTTGGCCCCAGGGCTGCATTCTGGATCCCAGCTACCTGCTCAGAGACACTTTCCTAACCACTTACAGACAAACAGGTAGGGGAGAACCCAAATTCCAAGGGAAGCAGAGAATCTTGAAATCTTGCAGCCTCCTTCTAGAACTGACTTCCGTCTGAAATGCTCTGTTTTCTTTCTTAAGTTAAAGCACTGGCAGCTTGATCTCTCACTTCCCCATGCTCCCCGCTGGCCCAGGTGGCTGCCGCGAGAATGGCTTGCTCACGTCTCCTGCTGGAGCATAACTGACAGAAGGCCCGGCAGCGGCCCCTCAGGCCCCTAATGCTGCAGAGCTCACGTTTTCCGCAGGCTCCACCCGTGGATGGCAGGTTCGTGGTGGGGTTGCTAAAACCAGCCCATTCTGGGGAGATGCGGCTCTCCTCCACCCCGACTCTGGTTCAAGGATTCCCTGTTGACTTGGCCAAACCTTTCTCGGAACTGCTGTGTGGTCTGAAACTCTTCCTCCCCGGCCTTTGTCCTTCTGTCATTGCCAGGCTTGCATCTTGGCCGGAGGCTCACCTCACCTCCTCGGGCTCCTTCTCCTATTGCTCTTGCGTTCCTAGTCCCATCTTGATGCCTGCTTCTTGGCAAACATGAATGAATGAGTGAAAGCAGCCCTCTTTTGCAGCACAGAGGCCTGTAGAAGCAACGTGAGTAGGATCAAGATATTCCCTCCAAAGTTTAGGTCTCTGAGATGCTTCAGTGTGGGGTATACTCACATACCCCCATGAACTCAGGTGGAGATAGCCTGGATTCCTGGGGACTTTATTATACCCCACTATGTACCTGAGATATAAAACTACCCCTCAACACCCTATCAGAGTCAACCTTGAGACCAGAGGCTGGTGCTGGAGATGGAGTCATGAGCAGGTGTGGGAAGAAGCCAGGCAGGTGGAGCTCCATCTCTGGGGAGGCTGGGCATGGAGATCTGCCCAGAGAGAGGTTGGATGTACAGGTGGACAGACAGGGGAGTTCAGCAACTAGGCAGCATGCAGAGGTCTGTGCTGGTGGAAGGTGGCTGAAGTGAGGGATGTGACACACAGTTCCCTCACCCTCAGGGATGGGCTAAGCTGAGACTTTAATTTCAGTCACAGGGTCAATCCCTGATCCCAGGAGAAACCAGATGCAGGTCAGATGAGGAATGCTACTTGTGGTGTATCATTGGCCTTGCTGCACTAAGGCAGGTCTCCTTGCAGCCTCCTGACTTGGAAAGTTGAAATCAGAGGCCAGAGTTGAAGGGAACCTGAGAGGGGGTCAGGTGGAGAGAGGAGGGTGGGGTGCAGGAGCAGAGGGTCACTACAGGAGTGGAGAGGGGTGGCTGCTGGTTAGGCACCTGGCTGTGCTGTGAGCCACATGGTATCCGTGGGGGGCATTGTGGGGGTCACTGGGCAGGCTTGATCTGGGATGTGTGCTACTTTGTGACTGTCATCAACCTAAGGTCTGTGTTTTGACAGGTGTGACAGGACTATGAACCTTTTCCAAAAAGTGCAATGATTGGTTCAATCAGCCTTCTAGCAGTGCTGTGAGCTGAAGAAGTTTGACAGGCCCCGGACAAATGTTGAAAGTCTCCAGTAATGATATTAATGGAAAATAAGGATATTTGAAAACTGACTGTGTAACAGAGAAGAACAAACCTGACTCCATATTGGATCCCTCCCTTTAGCTCTAACCCTTGTGCTCTGTTGCCTGTGCTTAGTCAAGCCGACTCTGCTCCCATGTTAAAGAATGCTGTCTATAGTCTGAAATACACATGATAGCTCACTCTCCAGCCTCTGTCTCCCAGGCTTAATCTTTAAAGGTATAACACTCTTCCATTCATATAGAGATACAAAGTTTTAGTACAGAGAATAACTTTTGTCTTGTTGGAGGCTTACAGGAACATTATGACCATGTGGACAACTGCAAGAACAAAAGATCATCACATCCCCTGTGGGGTCTGGCCAGCACCAAGAAGTTTGCAACAACCAGCCACCTCTCCTCCCCTTTTAGTATAAAAGAAGCCTGAATTCTAACTTGAGTAAGATGGTTCTTGGTCTGCTGGCTTTCCAAATAAAGTCACTATTCTTTGCCTCAACACCAATAAATGTATTGGCCTGTTGTTTGGCAAGCAGTATGAGCTCAGACCTGGTAACAATTGCCTTCTTTAGCCTTTAATTCTGATTTTCTTTCCAAATACATCTTTAACCCAAACTACTACGAATGGGAAACTGACATGTGAGCGTCTTCCTGGACTCAGCTTAACAAGGGTACATATAGCTGGAAATCTCTAGAGGGGAGGAAGGAGTTGGCACACCTTTGTAACACAGATGCTGTGTCAATCCCCAAATATACAGAGCTGGCTGAGGAGCAGCAGAACTGATGTAGGGATTGAAAAAATAATTCCAGGTGGCACATAGATGCCAGCGGTGGGCAGTCAAGCCAGCAGCCACAGCAGGCCAGAGAATGGAGAAGTGGGTGGTTGGGAATTCAAAAGGAACTGTATCAACTGCTGTTTCTCAGATTTGACTCTGGGATAAGCACTCCTTCAGGGTTTGGGGGGTGTAGGTGCTAGTTACATATTCCGATTCCCAGGTCTTTCTCCAGACTTGCTGCTTTGTAATCTCCAGATGATGGCTTGGGTGTTTTTAACAAGCATGATTAGGAAACACTGGCACAGAGGAAAGTGCATCCTAAATCAGGGGATTTGGCCCATTAACCTAATCCTCTATTGGCCTTCTGCTGAAAATGTTTGCTTTGATTTTTGTCTGGTGAATTCCATCCATGCTATGTTTGCAGACTCCTTGATAACATGTGGGGAACTTACTTGGTGGAAACACAGAACATCATAACTCAACATGACCCTTTAAAGAGTCATGGAGGAGGACATCAAGTACCAATTCTTTTCTGGATATCGTGCCGGGCATTTTTACATGCATTGCCTCATTGATTTCCCCACAGCAACTTCAGGTAGGTAATATTCATTCCTTTTTCAGGGGAGAAAAACAAGCTCACATAGGTTAAGTAACATCTCCCAACTTATGCATTTAAAAGGGGGCAGAGTTAAGATTTATTTGAGCACTCTTGGGTTGGGTTAACTCTTGGGTTAGGTTAACCCTAACCTTTCCTTGAGAAAAGAAAGATTACACTGCCCTTGAGAGCAGCAAGATACTTCATTTTGGGGAGAAAGAAACTGAAGCATGGAGGCATGAAGTGACTTGCTGCAAGTCACACGGAGGGTTATGGTAGGTCCAGGATATGACTCCAGGACCCCTAGGTTCTGTTCTGGGGCCCTTTTTATGAAGCCACGCAGATGTCTGACTGTGGTAGGAAACCACGATCCTGTGAGCCCCACTGAGGTCTCTGGCAGAGTTCACGCCAGCAAAGTGACCTCTGAGGAGGTCTGCACTGTGGACCGTGTTATGCACTTCTTGGCCAGACTCACTGACCAAACTCAAGCCTGCATCTCTCTGCCAAGATCTCAGAACTTTATATTATCTGTCTTTTGTTTGCTATTTCCCATACATGAGAACAACTAAGAAAATTCCATCAGAGCAAATGTTTTAAGAGGCAGCTTTTTAAGATGAGCTTTTTAAAAAAGTTTCCCTTGATATAGAAGTCAGGTTTTTTGTTTCAATGGTTGCCTGTGAAAATGAACCTTGTACTCATTAATAAAGCAAAAGAGGAAGGTGGGGGCAGAGAATGTGGAGAGGTGGCCACAGATGACAAATGAAGCAAGGGCTTGTGTTCTTTGACCTGGTAAACAAAAGCGACTTCCTCTGGGTCATGGTTTGTGCCCAGCAGCCTTAGGACACCAGGGCAAGGGCCGCGTAGCATGGACCTGCACATACCCTTCCCTGCTCCTCAGCCCAACTCCACAGCCTTTCTGTTCTGGGAATACACTCTGAGCTTTCCTCTTTCTACTTCTCTCATGAAGTCCCCTCTGCCAGGGCTGTGCTTTTTGATTTCCTCTATGATCAATTCCCTTTCCTTCTCTAAATCCAAGTTCAAATTCTGTTGCCTTCAAAAACATTTTTTCATCCTTCATGTGAAGATAACTGCTTTTCCAATACAGACCTTCCAGTGCTTGGCATCTTATACTGTGCCACTAAATGTTGCCCCATTTTGCATTGCCTTCAGTTTCTGTCTTAGCTGCAGGATCCCTAAGGGCAGGGAATCCTGTCTTTCTTATCCTGTCCTCTCCCGGTGCCTTGCACAGTGCCTTTGCAGGGCAACATCAACGATTAAGGCTCACCGTACAGAACCCCCACGACTGGATGTCCAAACAGGGGGCCAGCATTAAAAACACCAGGATGGCCTTCCAGCACCTAATTTCTGAGTGCCTTCTATCTGAAGAATCTTACAGTTACTCTCCTCACAGCCCTCAACTTCTTCCCTTCTTTCTATGGCTCTGCTTGGGGGAGAACACTTTCATCTAGGAGTCATTTTAGAGCACATGGCTGGGTGTTGGGGCATAAAGAAATCTGTTTCTTTCTTGGTCAAGAGCCATGTGGAATTTGGAAGGGTACTTCCTGTCCTCTGTTGGCTTCAGGCTGCTGGGACCTGGTTTTCACTGGGATTAAAGGATAACTGTGTATTTCTGCTCCTGAAGCTGGAGAACTGGCCCACTTGAAGAGGACGCAAAGATAACAGAAGGAAGCCCCAGGAAGAAGAGGAAGGGAGGGTCTCTGAGGGGAGGGCTAGCTGCTCCCCCAGCCCTCCTCCCCAGGATATCAGAAACCTTAAAGGAGTCCTCAGGAAGATGGTTGCAATGGGCTGTGAAGAAACTGAAAGGAATTCAAGAGAAGTTTGAGGGCAGACTATGATAAAGGAGCTGACACCATAGTGGTTGTCAGAAAAGAGATGGTTTGGAGCAACTGAAACTGCAGGCTGGTAGTCAAAGATTTGCTAATTCTTAGAGTGGAAAGTGGTGCAGCCGCTGAGATTGCCTTCAAAGGGAGTCACTGGGACCCAGGCAGAAAAGGCTTGACTTTCCAAGAGGCTGAGAGGACTCATGAGAACATTAAGGCTTTGGACTGAAGGGTGACTTGGAAAAGAGAAATGCTGTATAAGGTTATAACCCTGAACTCTGAATTTACCTGCTTTCAAAGTGGGTTTTACACTCAGTAATTTCCTAACAAAGCTATCACTTTCAGACTGAACAAGCTGATTGCTGGAAGAAGCATGATGAAGGGAGAACTGAGGGAGGGAAACACCCTGCAACTCTCACTGATGCAGACAGAAAGTCATCCAAGGAGGTGAAGGGAGTTCAGGGCTTTCTGCATCTTGTCTGTGGGTGGGCGGCATCAGGGACAGAGCCAGCTGTGTTGGAGTTGAGACAAGCTGGGACCTGGGATGCTTGACTGGAATGCTTGCACCTAGACAAAAGTCTTCTTGAGTAACACAATACAAAGACGCTATGCGGGGCAAATTAGGAACAGTAAGATAGGAAAAGGCCAAAACCCAACTTCTGCTTCTGAGGTGCCTGCTGGGAGCAAAAGCAGGGCACTACGCATGAGCCCTGCACTGGGCACCGCCAAGGGGGTGGGCAGGCCACCTAAGCCACCCCTCCAGCCCAACCCACACATGCATCCCAACCCTCACCCCAGTTAGGGGTCCAGCTTGCTCCTCTCTGCCCCCTCCCCTCAAGAAGCAAGCAAGGGAACCTGTTATTTTCTCTCCCAGGAAAGCCTTGTCCAAATGCTTTGTCTGGCCTCCTACCAATTTTACTGATTAAAGAGTCCAAGAACCTGCGTGGTAACAGAATGAGTTGGGCTCTTTAGGATTTGAACTGGAACTGTTACCCGCTCTCCTGACTTGGTCCCCAACAAGAGTCCTTCTGCCTGGTGTCGTTGGAGCCGAGAGCATGGGACAGAATTCAGTTCAGAAGCTAAAGAATTTTACCCTTTGATCAAAGGATAGAGAGGAGTGAGCTCCGCCCTGGAGATCACTGCGCTCGGCGTGACAGGCCGTGGGTGGGGCTGCACAGGGCTCCCAGTCGCGAGGGGGCGGAGCGCGCGGCGCGGGGGTGGGCGCTGCTG